GCTGAAGAGGCTGCCCGCATTGCTGCCGAGGAAGCTGAACGTCTTGCTGCCGAAGAGGCCGAGCGTCTGGCTGCCGAAGAGGCAGAGCGCGAACGTCTTGCCGCGGAAGAGGCTGCCCGTATTGCCGCTGAGAAGGCTAAACGTCTTGCCGCAGAAGAGGCTGAGCGCCTGGCTGCAGAAGAGGCAGAGCGTCTGGCTGCCGAGGAGGCAGAGCGCGAGCGTCTTGCTGCTGCGGAGGCTGCCCGCATTGCCACCGAGGAAGCCGAACGCCTGGCAGCTGAGGAAGCCGAGCACCTGGCAACCCTGTCGCCCAGCGGGCAGACCACCAGTGATGATGCGGTGCCAGGCAGTGATGGCAGTGCATCGCTGGTCCCAGGCCCCGCCGGGTCCACTCCATCGGATCTGGGCGACGGGTGGGGGGATGCCGATGACCTCCTTCTTGATGATCTGCTGGGCGACATGGACACACAGCCCGCGACAGATCCGGCCACCGGCATCACCGGGCCACCAAGTGCACCTCTCCCCGGGCTTGATCTCCAAGCCAACTTGCCTGCTAGTCCCTGGGCGGCCCTTTCTCCGGCCCCGGCCCGGATGGCCACCGACCCAGTGGCCGTCGGGTCGGCCGGTGGCTGGGACACTGAGCTGCCGGACGACCTGGACGCCCTCCTGGACGGCCAGGAGGCCGACGCCACCAGCACCGACCGCGTGGACAGCTACGGCGTGGACAGCTTCGGGTCCGGTGCCGACCGGTCAAGCGGCGATCCCTCCGGCGACGGGTGGGACGTCGATGATGTTCTGCTCCCCTCCGGCGATGAAGTCCCCCCCACCGCCGAGGCCGATGCTGCCCGGTCCACCGTGGCAGGCGGCTGGTCCGACCACGACGACCTGCTCCCCTCCGGCGATGAAGCCCCCCCCACCGCCGAGGCCGATGCTGCCCGGCCCACCGTGGCTGGCGGCTGGTCCGACCACGACGACCTGCTCCCCTCCGGCCAGGATGGTCGGGCCCCTGTCGCCGGGGGCGGCACGGCCCCTGCCCCGAGCGGCTGGTCCGACCACGACGGCCTGCCCCTGACGTCCGGCGGCCCTGATGCCGGGGGCTGGTCCGATCACGATGACCTGGACCTCGGCATGGACGAGGGTCTCGAGCCGGGGCCCGCCGGGTCACCTCGCTTTGCGGCGCTCTTCGACTCGGCCGCCGCCAGTACGTGTTCCCGTCTTTCCTCCTGGCCATGTGCCACCCACACACCCCCTCTCCCCTGGCCAGGAGTCTCCTTCTGGCCTCGGCACAACCATGCGCTCCCCGCCCCCACCCCCCTGCCACCGCCTGACCCCGCCTGCCCTCCACCAGGCGACAACCCGGACCCTCTGTCGGTCATCGAGTCCAAGCTCGGGTCCTTCCTGCAGGTTCGCCCATCCCATGCTGCATGCTCCTCCCCGCCTCAACTCGCTGCTGACCGCTCACCATCCACGCAGGCCGGCATGGGATTCATGTCTGCCGCTCCGGCCGAGGACTCCCGGCCGGGGCTCTTCGGGGCGGTGCCCCTGCTCGGGGCGCTGGCCCCGCGCGGGCTCGGCTCCGTGGTGGACGGCGTGGCCACCGGATTGGCCCGGCATTTGGCCGGGCACGAGCCCCGCCACGAGTCGTCCGCACTCGGCGTCGAACACCAGGACGATGGGGACTGCCTACCACTGCTCTTCGAGGACCCCTCCCACAATGGGCCCTTCGCCGATAGCATTGCACATCGGTATGGGCGCTTCACCCACCAGGTACTGTCTTCCTGCGCGCGGCCGCGTGGCGATTCCCCCTCTGCCGCTCACCGCCTCCCCCTTTGCCGCTCACTGCCTCCCCCTTTGCCGCTCACCGCCTCCCCCTCTGCCGCTCACCGCCTCCGGTGCTAACACGCGCATGCGTCCGGGCAAACAAAATGCTCGCGGCCAAAAAAAAAAAAAACCCGCCACATAGATGGCCCGTTCGCTTCAGGACCCGGAGCTCTGGCAATTCCTCGGCGGGGCAATCGCGCCGCATGCGGCCATGGACATCGCCAACCAGGCCATCGACCTCTTTGCGGCCAGCCACCTGGACTTCACCGAAATGGAGCACCGACACGCCGAGGCCGCTTTCGGGCAGCCCGGCCCCTCGCCAGCCCCGGTGGAGACCGCCCACCTGGTCAATCCGATTGTGCGCCCCCCCTTTTCCGCCACTCCCCCGCCTTCCGGCCAGCATCGCAGCCGTGCCCGCCCTCTCGGCCATCTCCACCACGGCCGCCATCACAACCGCCATAAGCAACCCGTCGATTCCTGACCGCGCCTCCGTCTGCCCCAAACCAGCTGTTTGCCTTTTCGTCCCTCGTCCCCGGGGAATTCCCTCCCGAGGTGGAGCTGCTGTCGGCTTCGATCGAGCGCTTCAATGCGGCGGCCCAGGGCGCCGCCGCTGGACGCAGTACGCTCTTCTTCTTTTCTTTTTTTCGGCCCCGCCCCCGGCCACCAGCGAGAGGGGTGTCCGGAAGCCGCATGTCCCCACCTAACTCCCCTTGTCGCCCCCGGCTCCGCCGCACTGCCATCGGCGCAGCTCCGCCCGCCGACTTTGCCGCCACGGCCCGGCTCGCGGCCGGCGCGGTGGTCCTGTGCGGCGCGCGCCTCGGCCTGATGGGTGCCCGCCGCGCGGCCCGGGACCTGGCCCAGCTGGACCCGGTCGACCCGAGCGCCGGGCCCCGGCTGGAGGCCGGCATCCTGGCCCTCCTGCGGCAGACACACGCCCTGCTGCTGTCCTTGATCCGGGCACTCGAGGCTCTGCATGCCGGGACGCCCCGCAGCAGCCCGGAGAATGTCCCGCTGCTGGGGCAGCAGCACTTGCTCGGGCTCTTCGGGCCGGTGTTCGACGCCCTGGCGCAGGCCCTCTGAGGCGGCCCCCGGCTGCCCCCGGCTGCCCCCCCCCCCTCTCTCTGTGTGTGTGTGTGCGTCTTGGCCCCAACCCCCCTGTCAGTTAGAACAAGGAGAATACATGCTCTCCGAGTCCCTCTCCCCCCCTTGGGCGCGTGCGGATTTCATTTGTATTGGATGAGCGTGGAGGGAGGGAGGGAAGGGGGGAGGGCCGGCACTGGCACAGGACAACCAGAGCCGCCACTTCGCGGCCATCAGGATGGAGCCTGTCGCGGGGCGCGCTGCACCTCCAGCATGTGGCGCACGACATCCTTCTTGCTGATGATGCCCACGAGCGACCCCTCCCGCTGGACCAGCACCACGCGGATGCCCAGCTGCCGGAACATGTCGATGACACTGAGCATCGGGTGCGAGTCCGACACAATGACCGGAGACTGGAGATGCCAAGGCCGACGGGGAGTGCAGCGGGTCGCGGCGAGGGCCGGGCCGATGGCGGAGAATGGGCAAATGGGCAGGCCAGGTGAGAAGAGAGCAGGGCAGAAGGTGCCGAGCAAGGGGCAGGCGGAACAAGCGATGTCACCATGG